CCCCGATTTGTGAGGTGTGATGAAAGCGCCAGCTGTATCTAACCTGATTGGCAGAGCTAGAATGTAACTCTCTGACCCCCTGAACTTGGAACCTTCTTTTCAAAGCTGTGAAATGTAAATCCACAGTAGCTGCTGACCTTAGACAGCTCTGCTTTCCCTGGAGCTTTGGCTTCTCTGGTGTATTTAAAACTAAGTTAATAATTTTCAGAACTAGGGAACTGGCCACTCCGAGGCTCTTTTCATTTCCCCAGAAACACTGTGTGGTGACTTCATCTTTGAACATAATTGATTTTGTTAGACAGAAACAGAAACAGAGGTGGATTAAGTAGTTTTGAAGACTTTGGTGCCCTAGCAAAATAAATCATGGCATTGAATACCAGATGCTGTTTGTACATGGTGGTTACTTGGTTATTCTGGTGAATTTGGGGCTAGTTCAGCCTTCTTGGCAACAGCCCATTAGGGTAGATGAGGAGGTCACCATGTAAATTAGTATGTACAAGTTAGAGCCACTATAGGAACTTTATTTAAATGTGTTCATATTCAGTGCCCCTTGCTCATGAACACAGGACACTGGAAGCCATTCATGTTAGTATGTTAGAGGTAACTGTGTGGAGTGGGACTTAGAGAGGTTGCTGTAGTGACCAATCATGACACCCTAGAGATTATGACATTTTCGGTGAAAGCATGAAGACATTTTTAACAAGAGGCCTTAGGATACCTCCAGTCTCTTGCTCAAATGAAGGGCGCGTTCACCACTGTGATGAAGTTCTATCTGATTTTGGCTGACCACATGGTCTATGGAGGTGTGCTTAGGAATGGAAGGGTTCAAGACAGCGGATTCCACACAGCTATCAAGCTATCCACTGTCTTGTATCTTATTTACATACACAGTGGATTCTGTTTCTCATCATTAGCCAGCTACATACCTCAAATGCCATGCATAAGTGGGTAATTCTCTTAGTAGGGACAGGGGAATGCAAAAAATATTTGCAAAGAAATAGAATTTTTATAGTCATTTTGTTTTCCTGTGTTTTCAACACTCTTTGTATGCCTCCGGGCCACAGTGAATATTATACATTCTACTTAACAATAGTGTTTCCTATTCAACAGCAGCCTTTCTGTGGCTGAAATGTCAATGAAAAGCCAATATTTATGGCCCTAGAGAGACAGACTTCCCAGTGGGGAAGTCAAGCAAATTTAGTCATAAGCTGGACAATGAGAAGTTGTAGCTTAGGGAGACCCTGAGCAAAGTGAGTCTCTCTCCCAGCCTTCTACGTTTACTTCAGTCCATCAGCCCCAACCTGGAATGGACAAGCTTCCAAGAGTGTTCTAGCTATTATCATGTGTCTCCTAACAGAATTACCAGTCATGGTCAGAAATACCAATGGTCATGTCTCTTCACCTTTCATCCTTTTAAACAGCACAGGTATTTGCTGTAGATCTGACTGAACAGTGAGGAAAGAAAGGAAAAGTTTCAGTATTGTATTATTTCTCATGTCTTAAACTCTGTTCATCTGTGTTACAGTAAAATTATCCCCTTTAGTATTATTTTTTCATGACTTTTCTTTTAATGGAAGCCTTATTTTCAAGTAGAGGAATATATTGGATAAGTCACTCCTATTAACTCAATACAGGGATTTTTGAAAAGCTTTAGCACTTTAAGAAATGTCAATTTAAGAGTTTTCAGTGGTTGCTGTCATTTGCTAAAACTGCGGGTGCTTCACTGAAGCTCCTGTTGGATGCACATGAACCTAGCTGGCTCCTCATCCTCTCCCTCCACAGGTGCAGACCCTTTCCCACTCACTGATTTTCCATTTGGCGTTTTTTGTTTGTTAGAGAATAGGCTCCCACCACCTCTTCTATTTCCTGTTTTCTTTCCATACCTTTTGTCACCCTGGAATCACAGTACGAAGCAGGTTTATAATTATTTGGCTGCACAAGGAATTGGGATAGGAAAGGAGAGGGGTTTTACTCAGAATAAACTGTGGGGAAGTTACAAAGGTCTACAGGAAGTCATCGGGTAAATACTGCAGTGCTTGCAAGTGAGCATGGAGGTAAATGTGCCTGTTCCAGCCCTGGCTTTCCTCAGGGAGCTTCTTAGGGAGTCAGTCAGGACATTGAGACAAGAAAGGGAGTTACCTGCCTGTAGGAAAGCTGAGCAAGTAGGCCTAGGGAGCCAAGACTGACCCTAATGCCTTGTAAGTAGTGGGGACCTGTGTCCTGAGTTCCAGCCCTGGAGACAGATGACAGGTGTCCACGCCTGAACCAGCCAAGTGTGAGCCACCTCATTCTGGGCAATAAGATGTAGATGTGCGGTAGACAGATCCCTGTTCCTGTCACCCATTAGAATTTGGTGACCCAGCCCGCAGTCCGTTTATTCAGAGTTCTTCGAGTAACCAACAGGGCTCTTTTTATTTATCTTTGAGATTTAACTTTGTAGAAAAATTTCATTCCTTTTATTGTTTATTCCACTAAGGGTTGGGGTGTTGGGAATGGCAGTGCATATTTGTAATCCCAGCACTCAGGAGGCTTACACAGGGCCTCATGAGTTCAAGATGAACATGAGCTAGAGCCCTGTCACAAACAAATAGAACCAGACTAGCTGCTATTTTAAGTTGGATCTTTTATTTCTTTGGCCATTTTCAATCTAGGAAGGATTGTATTAAAGGAGGAATCAGGTTGGAATGAATGATTTAACAAGGTAAAGAACTGTAGCTCTGTGTTAGGTTGGGGGGAAAGCACTACTAACTGGGGTTGAATTAATGTGCCACAGCAGTGACTTTGCTCAGTGGTTTTACAGGGGTGAACTAAGGTCCATTCTCTAAAGTTCAAGCTGGGTACCGCTGCTTTGCCTTTCAAGAACAGAAATTTAGACTTGGGGAGTTTACGTAAATAATAAGTAAAGGAAATTATTTGAGTTAATGTTAAGTATAAAACTCACGACGAACAGTGGTGGGAAATACACTGGCTGGGAGGTGGAGATAGCCCATAGTCTGGATGTCAGGTTGAAGATCTGGGCTTATTTTGTTTGGAAGAAAGACCCACTAGGGTTCTTAGATCCCTTAAATTTCTCTGACAGTAGCTTGTGGAGTGGGATACATGAAAAGTGCAAGAGGCTAGGTGGGCAGTGGGGGGTGGGTGGGGGTAACCTGACCAGGATGGTAGTTGTAGGGAATGAAATACAATTTTTTTTTTGTAAGCCTCCTCTTAGTCTCCTCTCTTTTAAACACCGTAGCTTTTAGATCTTTTCTTATACAGTGCTATCAGTTCTGGAGCCACTTCCAATTTCATTGCCAAAATATAAATAAAACAGGACAAGACAAATAAAAAGATTAAACACTGAAAATCTGATTGTTCACTAATTGTTTTATTATTGGAAGTAAAATGATTGGACAAAGAGCTGGGGACATGTAGTCTAGAACTATTAGAACTCTCTGTAAGGCCGAGACTTACATTTGTACTGATTTTGGTAGCTGTTTAGCTGTGATGTCATCAAGCATGCATTATTTTTCTTGTAATAAAAAAATTGTATTTACTTAGAGGCATTCAGAATGTCAACAAAACAGCTGCTTCAGAGACAACTGAAGATGAAAAAAAAAAAAAAAAAAACCAAACCAAAACTACTGTCTCCATATATAACTAATTTGTGCTGTGCACCAGCAAGAACCTGCTTTAAATTTCCATGCCAATTTACAACCTCCGGACTGTACCAGGCAAGGTTAGTGGCTATTGAAAATACCACCAGGACAGGGCTATCTAAAGACACATTTGGTAGTGTGTTAACTATACGGGGGAAAAAAAAAAGACACTGTATAGTTTAAAAACAAATCTTCCACAGCCTTACATTGCAATTTTTTTCTTTAAAAGGAGTGAGTTATGTTCAGGGGAGTTAAGTGCTTTATAGACAAAAACAAAAAACAAAAACAAAGCAAAACCCTGCACTAGAACCAACTTATTCATCATCACCATCTTCTTAGTCTTCCTTCTCTTCCGCATCCTCTTCATCCTCCTCATCATCCTTCTCTTCCTTCTTTTTCTTGCTCTTTTCTGCCTTAACCACCCCCTTTTTCGCTGCATCGGTTTTCCTTTAGCTCTGCAAACAGCAATATCCTTTTCGTGCTTCTCCTTCAGCTCGGCAGCCTTCTTTTCACAGGGCTGCCTGTCCTCTGCAGCAGTGCTGTTCCACAGCTCTCCCAGTTTCTTTGCAACATCACCAATGCACAAGCCTGGGTGTTCTTTGATTTTGGGCGATACTCAGAACAGAACAAGAAGAAGGCCGAAGGAGGCCTCGTAGGTGCATTGGGGTCCTTGAACTTCTTTTTTGGCCTCCCCTTTGGTAGGGGATGTAGGTTTTCGTTTCTCTTTCATAAATGGGCTTTGCCAGGCTTTGCCATGTCTTCAGATTTCCCCTTTTCTTTAGCAGACTTGGTCTTCTGCTTTCTGAGCACTTCTTCAAGAACTCTGAGAAGTTGACTGAAGCATCTGGGTGCTTCTTCCTCCTTCTTTGTGTTCTTCCCGGCAAGTTTGCACAAAGAATGCATATGAGGACATTTTGTCTCTCGGCTTCTTAGGATCTCCTTTGTTCATATTTAGTTGATTTTGGTCAGCAAGGCACAGAGTTGTCCAGCTTGAGCTTGCCCCGGCGCAGTCTCTGTGGAGCTCAATGTTCTGCAATGGCTGTGAGAGCGGGAGCCAGACACAGCCTCCTCACTCTCTCCACTCTGAAGCATGCTTTATTTGGTTGAAGTCAAAGTAACATGGTTTATTTTAAAAAGTAGTACAATGTGAATTTTGTGATAATAAATCTGAATTGAGGCTGTATCTGTGAAATAAATGTATTAGTGTGTTATGTTGTATAAAGGGGAAAAGGAGAAGAAAATTCTGTATCATTTCCTGTATTAGTCGTTGGACATTATAAAATACTGTCTATCACATAAGGACTAGGGAGCTAGTGATTTGTAAATGATCCCTAATAAGCAATGGTTATTTTATTCTTTTAGCAGATTTCTGCTCAAGGTGGATCCTCTTCCAATGTAAATGGCGGACCTGAGCTTGACTGTTGCCTGAGTCCTGAAGGTACTTCTCAACCTGATCATTATTTTTATAAGGGAAATCGTCCATCTGAGCTTGGTGGCCATCCGAATCCCACCTGTGCCACATTTCTTCCTAACTAGGGATGTGATGTCACCTGACAGCCCAGGTAGCGTTAGTGAGATGTTGAGAGTGGGGTCACTGGAGGGTGTGTAGTCTGTCTGCCATAAATTACATTATCCCTGTCTCAGATCTGAGAACTGGGCTTCCTGTCTTGTGCTCTTACTGGTTATGTGCTCACAATCCCTAGATATTTTTCCGTTCTTTCAGTTAGACGAGCAGATGAGCACACACATGTTCTGCTTTGTCTGGACAACAGGACACGTGGTGTTAAGTGGTCTGATCTTAACTCAGAGCCCAGTGCACCCCCTTTTTCAGGAGGCTTTGAGTCAGGAATTAGCCCAAACACAGTGTCTTACTTTGATAGAACTTTCTTTATAGAACAAGGAGAACACTCCAGAGCACTCCTCAGACGGAATCCATCCTCCTAACTGACACTTCAGGATTTGTTAGGCTTACTGATTTTTTGTGGGTTTCTGATCCTCACTAATAAGGTCAAAAGGAAACTGGTGATTCAGGCATTCTACTTAGAAAATATGCTGAGGGGTTTTCTTTAGTTTCACTAAGACCTATAAATAATTGCATTGCACTTCAGTATTTTCCATGTATGTAGGAATCAATATGAAATGCTGACATTTCCTTCTGACTTTGTGTTTATCCTTGGTTGCAGGTGTGAATGGAAATAGGTGCTCTGAGTCCTTCACTCTTCTGGAGAAATACAGAATTGGGAAGGTCATTGGAGATGGCAACTTCGCAGTAGTTAAAGAGTGTGTGGACAGGTGAGCGGGACGGCTTTCTCTCTCACAAACACATTTCTTCCTCTGGAGTTTATTCGTAAGTTACTGAATGGAAGGCCTTTCTGGGAAGCATCACTTTCCCCTTTCCTGAAAGAATCTGTCCTGGGGACTAGCCTTTTGGACTGGCCACAAGCAGTTTATTTTAGTTATATACATAACATTATTTTGTATGCATGTGGTCTAAAGGGCGTATCAGAGCTCATCCACCAGCCTGGAGAAAAGCAAGGAAGACGATGAGCCACTGGAACAAGAAAACCTTCTGTAAGACCCACATCAGGCTCTGCTCAGTTGTGTTTCTGCATTGGACTTTCACAGCACTGCTGAACTAGATCCACAGCTCTGGACAAATGAGCATGAGTGTGGGATCAGAAGGAACCAATTCTGCTTGTTTTTGACCTTTTAAAACAGCATGAAAGTCTTGTGATTCTAGAACACTGTCTTGCCTGCTCTGAATGGATGAGTTTTATAGTTGTGGCAGGTTTTCTAGAATGTACTGATTATTACAGTTTGTCCATTCTGTTGCATCTCCAATGAGGGTTCACTGCCTTTTATATATTGCTATGTATGTTACCCCCTGTTTTTGAAGTCTTTTTACAGAGCTCTGGCATACAGACTGCTCCCCAAGAAAACAATGAGGCATCTAATATGTAACTTCTAAGGACCTGTTAGAAATGTGGTTTATAACACAAGGGGAGAAATTTATACATTACTTTTCCAGGCTGGGCCTCATCCCTGTATACTAATGCACTTTGGCAGAAAGACCTATAGATGAGAGAACACATGTGCTCTGAATACTCTCTAAGAATGCTGTGATAGTCTCTAGTTCATTTGAGTATGTTTTTGGCCTGTTTAAATTCAACTATGCTAATATTGAGTAAAAATTAAATATCATTGGAGCTGAGTGGTGGTAGTGAACACCTTTAATCCCAGCACTTGGGAGACAGAGGTAGGCGGATCTCTGTGAGTTCCAGACCAGTCTGGTCTGCAGAGCGAGTACCAGGATAGGCTCCAAAACAATACAGAGAAACCCTGTCTCGAAAAACAAAACAAAACAAAAAAAATTAAATAGCATTGGATTAAGATTTGTGTCTGATAAGTGATTTCTTTAGTGCCAGGCAGAGTCTGTAGGGTGGAAATGATGCAGCACTGGATCTTGCTGAAGGAATTGAGGGAAAATAGATACTAAAAGTATAAGGACTTTGCAGTTTTCCACTATAAAATCAGGTTGTTTATTTTCCAGTTAGTCTGATCCAGTTTTCTTTATTTCTTCTTAGAGACCTGTCTTGAAATTTAAGTAAAGAAAGTGTTTCTTTTCTTGTGTTGATACAACAGAATTTAAACACTTCAATATGAGTTAATGATGTAAAAGAAGATTTAATTAGCCTGGCTTTGTTTTTTTTTCTTTTCTATTTTGGGAGTTCCTTCCTCCTATGACCCCTCTCCACACTGTGTCTAAGGGACAGAAGTGTGGGTGCTGTAGAGGAAGCTGGGAAGGAAGGGTTGGTTATTCTGATTTATAGCTTTAATGGTCTTCCTCTGGTTATTCCTAGGTCGACTGGAAAAGAATTTGCGTTAAAGATTATAGACAAAGCCAAATGCTGTGGAAAGGTACAGTATGCACAACTGCTACATATAAAGAGAGAGAGAGACAGAGAGAGAGAGAGAGAGAGAGAGAGAGAGAGAGGGTTCAAGTGGGGACCTGAGAACTTTGTTGTAGGAGATGGACTACCAGCAACAGAAAGTAAAGTAACAGTTTTTATCCCGCTGTTTTCCAGCAACTTTTAACTCTAAGATGGTAAATTTATTGATCTTGGTTATAATTATAAGAAAACGTAAATCTCTGTGAGTTTCAGACCAGCCAGGTCTACAAGAGCTAGTTCCAGGACAGCCTCCAAAGCCTGCCTCAAAAAACAAAACAAACAAACAAACAAAAAAAGAAAACAAATTATCTTTTCTGGGAGATTCCTAGTCTCAAATCCAGCAACATTTAAAAGCCTAGAACTGAGGGCCGTTAAATGTTAGTTACTTATTTCCATGCTAAGAGTTGGCCTTCTAGCTTCAGGAAGCTGGCAGAAAATAAGGTTCCTGCTCCAGAGGCAAAAGATGTCACTGTTCACAGCACGCCAGGTGGCCTGCTTGCTCTGGCTCCCAGGTGATGCCTAGGGGCCCAGTCATAGGCTATACATTCATGGGTTTCTATCAGATCAGAGGAGAGCCTCACGCTTGAACACCTCTAGTTTTATGATACAGTTGCTGGATACCTACCCATGATATTTGCTAGAGGAAAACTTTAGTTTCCTTATTAGAGTCAGGAAATGATCTGGCCTTGTCTGTCTGTGTTCTGAGGGTGTTGGCTGCATAGATATCCCCGGGCAGGACACTTGGAACAGTGGCTGAGGCAGAAATACCATGAAGTGAATCCTTCAGCACAGTGACACATTTCTGTCTGTCTTACTCTCAACCTGGGGTGGGAAGGATCAATTGACAGCAGGCTGCTAGAGGACAGTAAAGAGACACACACAGAGACTGTGGGCCTGTGGTGATCCCTGTGTGGTGGCAGACTTTACAGGAGAAGGCTGTGGAGCAGGATTCTAACACTAGGTGGAGCTGCTGACTGCACGTGGGCTGAGAGGAGTCCAAAATAAGCTGTGGGCTCCAAGTACACACTGGATTTTGAAGACTTTAGATATAATGGATCTTTAAATTTTTAAGTTAATTTTTCCTATTTGTCATATTTTAAGTGTGACTATTAGAAACTTTAGTATTGCATATTTGAACTGCATTGTAATCCTGTTGGAAAGTTACTCTAGCACCAGAGTATATAAAGTCAGTCGTCCCTTTACCTCCTGCAATGTGACCCTGGACAAATGTTTAAGTCATCCGTGTCTCTGTTTGTTCTTCCTTTAAATATGGTGACTGATAGTGTGTATGACAACTGCTGGTGTGTGTGTGTAACACAACTGAGATTGTGGGACCGGGGAATAGAAAACACTTACAAAGTATCAGTATGTGCAGAAAGAACTGACATGTGTTACTGTCAACATTGTTAGCATGCCAGAGGACTTTGGAATTTATAATTGTAGGGTGATATGATAGTATTGACTTTACACTGTGAAATTGCTAAAAACAAAAACTCCAAAAAATAATTTTTAGTGTACATGTGATTCATTTTTAGTGAAACCATGTGATTTTAACAGAAAATTTAAAATAGTAGTGTTAAGGATGTTCTAGGAAAGCTAGGAGGCAAATTTGTCATTTAATATTTTTTCTGTAATTGTCAACAAAGCAAAGGTGGCAAGATGGCCACTTTTTGCATGTTTACTTCTGTCTGATCTTAAGTGCTTAAGTGCATATTCTTTAAACTTTTCTAATGTTATTTTCTTTGTGTGTGTATGTATATATGTTGCGTTATGTGTGTATTGTTTTGTGAGGTGTGTTTGTGTACATGTCTTCATGTATTATATGCACATACATGTTTGTGGCGTGTGTGTGTGTGTGTGTGTGTGTGTGTGTGTGTGTGTGTGTGTGCGCGTGTGTACACATGCCAAAGACACCTTGCCTAAGTCAGTCTTCTTCCATTATTCAGGTCCCAGGACTCAAACTCAGGTCTTGGGTTGGGCAGTAGGCATTTTACCCACTGAACCATCTCTTGCTTACTTTCTTTGCTTATGCTTCTAATGGTATTATTAATTTTCAAATGTAATAACCATTTCTCTATATTTAACTGTTAGTTTTTCCATCTTTGAGACGATCTAAGGACACTGTGTCATGATATAGGCCATGTTCTATATGACTATTAACATTTTCTTCAAAAATAGTAAGGAAAAGGTTAAGCTGTAAGAAGCTATTTTCATAGTTAAAGGTGATTGTTTGCAAGAATTTAACGTGATACAGTACTGACTGCCTAGACACGTGGGGATAGGCCACTTCAAAATTTGGATTTGTGTCTCCTTGTTACTGAATGTGGTTCTATTTTTGCAGTTCACATTCTTATGCTTCTCTACATTTTTACATTTTGCATATTTGACCAATAAATTCCATATCAACACTGTATAAAATTATAACTTAAAACTTGATGTTGCAGATTTTTTTTCCACTGTGAAATTACATTTCCAGGAAAAGTAGCATAATTTGTTTACAAAATTTTAGGGGACCATCTAGCCACTGTTACGGGGAACATTGCTCACCTCTGCTTTGTGGGTTTTATATGGAAAACTAGTGTGTTGAAAATAACCACAATCTTGGGGATATAGGTACTTTGCACAGTGGTGACTCAGAACACCTGCACCAGCTGTGCAGAGGAGGAAGCAGAGATTCAGGTTCACTAGCTTCCCACAGAGCAACAGAGGCGGAGTCCTGACTTGAGTTTGGGAGCAGCCTCTACTTTGGCCAATCCGCCGTGTACCTCTGTGTTTCAGTTGCTCATTCTTCATGTAATAGGAATCTAGGGAAATATTCATTCTTGTCTTCTGCTGCTTCTTCTAACATACATGAACATCACTAGGTTAAGTTATTCACTCTCTGAATTTTGGTGTGTGTGCTCTGTGTAAGACATGGTGCTGGGAGTAGGTAACTCACCACAGGAGTTACTACCAATTCAGAGGATGCTGTGAGCTCAGGGAATGCTTATGGAGGAAGAATTGGTATCTGTGAGGATGCCGTGGTATGAGAAGCCTTTGAGGAGCATGGGCAGTTGGCTTAGAGGGTTAAAGTGCTTCCCATGAAGCCTCAGATCCTAAGTTCAATGCCTAGAACCCGTATGTGTAAGACAGGTCATGTAGTTCATGCATCCGTAATCCCTGTGTTCTTAAAGGGAGATGGGAGCAGAGACAAGAGACTCTCTGGAAGTTCATGGGCCAGCTAGAGAGACAGCCAGGAGACCTTTTCTCAAACAAGGAGAAGGCTGAAGGCAATGATACCTGGAGTTGTTCTCTGACTCCTACATGAACGCTGTGGCGCGCGCGCGCGCGCGCGCGCACACACACACACACACACACACACACACACACACACACACTACAGATACAGAAGAAACATTTGAGCTGCTCCTGCACTGTGGCATGATTTCGGCAGGCAGTGATGAAAGGATAACCTGTCAGGTGGCCAGAGTGGACAGAAAAAAGCCTTCCCAATCTTTTTTCTCCTTATATAAAGCTTGGTGTGACCTTTACTTCCAGTGAAGATGCGATACTACTGTTCATTTCTGTCTTTTCAGTGAAATAATCTCCATTTGTACAGCTGCCATTTTACTTTTTAAAAATTCCAACTTTAATTTCACTCAGGTATTCCCCTTTAAAAGCAATTGTGGGGGCTGGAGAGATGATGGCTCAGTGGTTAAGAGTACTGGTTGCTCTTCCAGAGGACCTGGGTTCAATTTCCAGCAACCACATGGTGGCTCACAACTGTCTGTAACTCCAGTTCCATGGGATCTGATACCTTCATGCAGGCAAACCAGCATACATGAAATAGAAATAAATAATTTAAAAATAAAAGGCAGTGATGCTCAGTACAAGAGATATGGACTTGGGGCATGAGTACCAGGCTTACATCCCCCTCTCCAAGGACTGAAATAAAGATAAAATGTCAGAACATTACACAAGAGCCTTGCTCTGTGCCTGACAATTAGCGAGTCATTTTCTAGTTGACATTCCAATTTGGCACTTGCTGTCTTTTGCCGAGGGTTATCCCCTGACATCCTGGATAGGCATAGTACATTCAGTGCTCAAGAATTTCAACCCAGCGTGTGCAGGAGCTTGCAGTAGATTTTGTTCTCTACGTGGTATTTGTCCATTTCTTTTTTTAAATGTACCTCATGGTACATTTGTCCATTTATTATTATTTATTCCTCCAGATATTGTCAGGAGGCATTTGAATTAGAGTAAAAACATAAATGCACGTATGTACCAAATATATAGAAAAACCAGAAATGGTGTCTGAAACCAAGGTTAAAGTGCCATGCCAGAACACTAGATTTAGCTCTGAGAGCCATAGCAGTAAAGGTGAAGGACAAATTCAGCAGCACACACATAGAAACACACACACACACACACACACACACACACACACACACACAGAGAGAGAGAGAGAGAGAGAGAGAGAGAGAGAGAGAGCGAAACACACACAAAAAACCCTATGTAGATGTGTGCATATACCTTAAGATGATAAATAATATATCTTCCATATAAAATTGTCTTATTTTAGCATTTAGAACGTTGAAGAGAGCAATTTGCAGCTTTTATAGAGCATTTTCTAAATTCAAATGGATTTGTCGTGAAGTTAGTGACGATCCACATGAGCCACATGTAGAACAGAAGGGTCGCTGTGTATAACTCGTGGATAACTTCTTAATTCTGTAAGCAAACATTTTACTACAGAGCAGCCTTCGTCCATGTCACTCAGCATGAACAACACTGAGGTAGTGTTTTCAGGGCAGAGGTGGTTACAGTTGAAATGAGCTGTGTGGCACAGCGCCTTCAGATTTCTGAAATACGAAGTGTAAGGAACACCCATCTGGTGAATGACTTCATACCAACTCACAGAAGGGAGAAAGCTTGTTTTTCATGAATTTTAGCATAAAATTAAAATTTATATTGGTAGCAGTCAAACATTTTGACCTTAGAGTTTGTGTGCCAATTTTTCTTTTATGCTTAGTTCGTATTTTTGCATGAAATACTGAAATTAGAAAGTGGTTCTGGTTTTGCTGATCTATAGAAGGCACAGTGCCATATGGACACTGTCTTCAGTATCATTGTCCAGAGTGGGGTCATTAACAGTATGCTCACATTGAGCCCTTCTGGGCATGCTCAGAAGGCAGTTTCTTTAGGGTCTGGCAAAGAGATAGTCATTGGTGGCCTGTCTGATCTCTGGGAGGTCTAAGTAAACAGGTGTGGTTGTCTTTGTGCCAAGAGATATGTTTCCCTTGGCATCAGAAATGAAGACTGTGATCTGTTGTCCTCCAGGCTGTGGGGGCAGAGCCGAAGGTTCTGTGGTTTTGATGTCTATCTCTATACCCTTTATTTGGCAGGAGCATCTGATTGAGAATGAAGTGTCAATACTGCGCAGAGTGAAGCATCCCAACATCATCCTGTTGGTTGAGGAGATGGAAACAGCGACCGAGCTCTTTCTAGTGATGGAACTGGTCAAAGTAAGAGGGTGGACAGAGTTCATTGACACCAAATATCAGACTGGCTTGTGACATGTCAAAGTATCCTACAGCCTCTTAACTTTTGTTATTCATACACATCAGTTTCATGTGTGGCCCTTCCTTCATCTACTCTAAGCTGATGTGATACCCCTTCTTATCTCAGGACTGAACTGCTGACATTTCTCTTTTTTAAGATTTTATTTATTTATTATGTACACAACATTCTGCTTCCATGTATATCTGCACACCAGAAGAGGGCCCCAGATCTCATAACGGATGGTCGTGAGCCACCGTGGGATTGCTGGGAATTGAACTCAGGACCTCTGGAAGAGCAGTCGGTGCTCTTAACCTCTGAGCCATCTCTCCAGCCCACAGCTGACATTTCTATGTATCCCTTCTTTCATCCTATAGGGTGGAGATCTCTTCGATGCAATTACTTCTTCAACCAAGTACACTGAGAGAGATGGAAGTGCCATGGTATACAACCTAGCCAATGCCCTCAGATATCTGCATGGCCTCAGCATTGTACACAGAGACATCAAGCCGGAGAATCTTCTAGTATGTTCAGAATCTCTGCTATTTCATTTTCAACTCGTGCTTCATGATTGTAATGCCATGAAAACCATCACACATAAAAAATGACATTTAGAATGTAAACTAATATCACAATAATGAACAGAGCACTCGAGAGAAACTTAAGAAAAATCAGTAAGTTTAAGCTGACTGGGGTATTTTGCATGCACACAATAAAATCCTAATGGGTTTCTTGAATTGATGTGCATTTTGTTTTGCAGACATTAGAAAATACATTTCCATTTGTCTTTGATTATGTTAGTCAGCTTCATGTTATGATAATGGAATACATGACGTAATTATTGTGTGAAAAGAAAAGGGTTTCATATTTTGGCTGAAAGTTATGGAGGTTCCAGTACAATATAGATGGACCCATTGCTTCAGTCCTCTGATGGCACTGGCTGATGGCGTCTGTGAAGAGCATGAGATGAGGTAGGGCCATTTGGCCCCTTTATGATTCAGGAAGGGAAGGGAAGGGAAGGAAAGGGAAGGGAAGGGAAGGGAAGGGGAGGTAGGAAGAAGACCCGAGGACCTTTGAGGATGTGCAATGATGTAAATACTTTGCACAAAGTTCTGCTTGCAAAAGGTTCCACCACCTCCTATTAGCACCATCCTGAGGATCAAGCCTCTTACACAGGGGTGTCTGGGGAACCTTTAACATCTAAACTTAAAACAACAGTACTAGCTGAATGAAGGAGAACAAAATTGTATGGTGCAGAACACTGAAGAATAAATTGGAGACAAGTAGAGACATATGGGTGAGAGAAGAGAACAGATGTGTTGGAGGTAGTCAGTCCGTTGCTCTCAGCTTCATGGGTATAGAAATTGAAACTAAGATACACTACTTTTTTGTGTGTTTGAAAGTGTCATGTATTCTATTCCACAGAATGCAAAGTGTTTTCAGGGACCTTGGTACATGGTCCTGGTCTGTTTTACCAGCCTCCTGACCTTCTATAACCCTGTCTCTTCATCTAGCTCATCACAGCACTCACCTCTAACCTATGTTTGAGTCGCCTTCATGGTGAGCTGTGATAACCAGAACTTACTTGTCAGGGAGTTCTTGAGAGCTCAGTGTCTTGTCATGAGCTGGAGAAGCTGTTTGGGGGAGTTTTGCACATACACACTCTTCCAAGCACAAGGTAGCTGGCTTCTCTGTTACCTTCATAGCTGAGTGCTTCTATAGCTAACCTTTAATAGAGAGGCTTATCTGTGTGCTGTTCCACTGTCTTAATTCCAGCTGGTTTCTCCATCCTCTGCAGTAGAGACTTCACCAACAGCGTTACACCTGCATTTCTTCTCAGTCTGTATTGGTAATATCCTTCCCCAGTGTGACTAACCTCTTCATCTTGTAAGACATTACTCCAACATTTCTGAACAGACTCAGGCGTGGCCCTTCTTGCTTTCTGCAGCACTTGTCACAGGTAGTGATTTTATATACTCTCATCTGTCTCCTTTTTCAAATGTAAGTCCTGTAGACTAGAGTTCATGATCCTTCTCTCCCTAATGTCTTGAAGAGTGCCAACCAGGTACACTGTGGATATATGGAGTAATACCTGGTGGTGGCTCTCATAGTTACTCAGCTAGTCAGCAGTTGAGTAAAGACTCACTTCAGCTAACCTCAGGCACCACACAAATTATGATTAAAAGGAATATGTGGCGATCACCCCCAGGGACTTTCTTTTTAAAAATTAAAAATACTTAGTTTTGCTAAACCAAAGTGTCCATTTTCCATTTGGTAATACCATTTGTTCATATCTTGTTTATCTGGAAATCTGAGCAGCCCTCTTCCTCCTCCGTCTCCCCTCCCTTGCCCTCTTTGTAGAAAGCAGCTTATTTCCTATTACTCATCTTTCAATTTTGTTTACATTTCTGCAGCATAACAGTTAGGACTGCTCAGTGGTTGTTCCTCCCCACTCAGTGGCCAGGCATTGGGAGCTGCAAACAGTCCTCTGTGGTTAGTTAGCACCCCAGTCCTCTGTGGGGACTTCTAGACAGGTATAGAGGGTACCTGTTCACCTGTAGACCAGTCTGCCACACAAGGCTGAGCAGCAGAGGAATAAGGATTTGACACAGCCCATTTGCCCCAACTTTGCTCAGCAGCCTCCCTTCCTGCCAGGCTCTTTAGGACTTCAGTCAGGCATGCCCTCCCGCAGACGCTCTTGGGAGAGAGTACCACACGTGTGAAACTTCTGTGCTGTTTATCATCTAGCACAGTAGACCCACAGAGTGAGCGCCTCTGTTGTGTGGGTCAGCAGTGTCTCCATAGCACAGGCACCTGCTACACAAAGCATGGCAGGCAGGTTGGCATAAGATGCTTCTAAGAGAGGCTGGTGGTCAGCTCTGTATCATGACTCCTGGAGGCTGCCCGGATCTGGTTAGCAAGGACCCAGGCAGGATAAAGCTAATGGTGGAAGAGCTCTGGTAGCTGCCGGAAACTCCAGCACAGCCTGGTTTTCCTGGAGGAAATGACTCTGACAGCCTCAGGGTTTCCCATGGCTGAACTTCGGGCAGAAGCTGTCCCAAGTCCTCTTCAGTTTGACACAGTCCTATCAGATTTTGTTTGGAGCGGGCAGTACATGTAGAAGTCCGGTTTACTGCCACTGATGTACACTCCTGCTGCAAGGAATTTAAGGACATTTTCCTCCATTTTCAGGACATTTTTTTCCTTTACAAGGGAAACTAAGAACAATACTGTATGGACCCCTCCCTTAATAGCACAGAAAGACAGAATTCTTTTCTCACTGTCTTCTGCTTTGAGGTATTTGCATAGGTTTAGCACCCATAAAACCCTAGTCTGAAATTCAGAAGCATCCAGAAAATGTACTGAGAGAGCTAGGCACCTATCTGTAATTAGTGAATTTGAGGCCAGCCTGAGCTGCCATGTGAAATCCTGTCTCAAAAACAGAAGAGACTTTTTGTGTGGCAGCTTTTCACCAAGTGGAAGGTTCCATACCATGAAGTCTCATTTTATACACAAAATAATTTAAAACATTGCATGAATTTATCCTCAAGCTATGTTTTTAAAGTATATGTAAAACATAAATGAATTTTGTAGTTGGTATTGGAACCCATCCCCTAGATACCTCATTATGCTATATTCTAAAGTCTGAGACATTGCTACTGAGCATTATTTATGTATTTTAAGAGATTTTTGACTCACTGTGTTTTCAAGGCTGGTCCTGAATTCTGAATTCTGGCATTGCGATCATCCTATCTTAGCTTCTTGAGAGGCTAGTGTTGTAGATGTGTGTACCTCCATGTGGCTGCTCTTGGCCACCACGAAGTCTGAGGAGTATCCAGCGAAAGCCTGGAGATTTGGATGAACGACAAGATGCCTGGTTGATTTTTCTGAGAGAATCTCTCTCACCTTTATTGTGGAGCAGCCTTATATACAAACTTACAAAAACCCCAGGTGAAAGGGTCCACAATATCCACAAAGGATATTGACGATAGTGGGGTGAGGTCAGGAAAACAGGAGGTACCTGTGGTTATGCTAGGAAACAACTCTTAGAGACCCCATGGGAGCTGGGTCCCAACAGCTCCACTTTTGGTTCCAGACATTTTTGTGTGTGTATGGTGCTAAGGATTTAACACAAGGCTTTGCTCATGCTAGGAAGCACTCTCTCACGGAACTATACCATAGCCACTCAGTCTTTCAATCTGCGTGGTCATCTCAAAGCTCGTCTCAAGGTAGACGTGTGTGGAGGGTAGATAATAAATAACACTGATGTCTTCAACTTCCGTCTCAGATAACTGGGAATCTGATTGCAGTTACTCTTCTGGTGTAAATGGGTTTCACCTCTTCTCCTAAATCTGCATTAAGGGCCTGGTGGTACCCAAAGTGGAGGACAGTGGTTAGAACTAGTGGTTGATGGAGGCTGTGAAGTCAGACTCCAGAAATGGCTTTTGTAATGCACACATGCCTGAGCAGCATATGTGTCAGCCATGGAAGACCAATCACTTGTATCAGCAGGTCGGCATTGGCCTGAGGAGAAAGTGCCATTGAAGCACTAAGAGTAAATGCCCCGCATGACTCTTGCTCTCCTCCTGTCTGAGAACTAATTCAGTTTTAAACAGCAGGGCATTCTGACATCTGATTTGCATCCCATTGCCTAGAAGTGTCATAACTTAAAGCCCTGCCAAGGCAGATGTATGGGTCGTGTGTCAGGGAGCATGGAGGTGGCCGTTAATGCTATGAGTTACAGCCCAGGGGTGCCCTGTCATAGTTAACTATGGGAGACTAGTGATAAATTCAGGGTTTCCAGGAGTTCTGGGACAGGAGAGAAGAGGTTTGGTTTCTCATAGTTGATGTCCTTCTAAATCATTACGCTGGCATTTTATTTAGCGAGCATAAGGGATTCACTTTGGATGTGGGACCTGCATTTCTCACATTTTTCAGTTTTGCATTCTGCCAGCTACTTGACAGAGCATCTCTCAGTGTGAGGTGGGCCATTTGAACGTGGCAGGGCTGGGGTTTTCACAGTTGTTTAAATTCATTCAAAATCTGCACATGAGGCTGCCTGGGCTTTGGCATTGTTTAGATACAGCATCCACTGCATGGATGTGGTTTAGTGTGCTGATGAGGGGTCCTGGCTGCAAAACCTGCTTGGTAGCTTAAGCTGAGTTCCAGGCTCCTCCGTTTCCTTGCCCGCAAAATGCTGGTTTTCTGGTTGGCTAGAGTGGTCTCCATCTAAGTCTGGTCGTGTGCTTGAGAGGAATTTAAATCTGCAAAGTTCCTGAGGCTATCCGTAATGGCCAGAAATCCTTGGGAACCTGAATTCTTCATTTGTCTCTTTGTGACAGTCAATCCCCTCCCTCTCTCCTTCCTTGCTAGGCCTGGTGCAAGGAAGGCAAGCTCTCCACCTCTGAGCTCTACCCGAGCTCACAGTTTCCTGAACCAGTGTCTCTTTGCCACACAGATACACAATGGCATTTAAGTTTCCTTGTAGATTTGAAGAGCATCTCTAGCTAAGATTGAAAGGTTATTACTATTTTTTCTGCATTGGGAGATGATTCAGGTAAATCACTATTATGTCCCACTTTTCTGCCTGAGTCATAATGTTGTTTTCTTGTTTAGCCCAGGAGTACCACTTGTCCCAACAACTGAGCAACTATAGGCTGCTCACTCCTTTTCTGTCTGTACTTCTGCATCTGACTATGAGTTCTGTGGGGGATGTGGAAATGTGGCTTCTGAGACTGTCTGACAACACCCCCCAGAACCCCTGGACATTTCTAAATGGAGTGTTTAAAATAAACACAGTTTTAGAAAAACAGTACCTAATGAGTTGTAAAAATAAAATAACAGTAACACTACTGAAACTTTGACTCATGATACAGACATTCAGGAAACCATGCTTATAAGTGTTCTTATCACTACAGTTTCTTAGGGAACTTGGTTCTAATGTTTGGGTTTCAGTAAATGCACCATAAATCCTAACTATAATTATATTAGATTGTTCTCACTAATGTTTACACTAAGCACTATGGGTGGAAAGCTGTCCTGTGTGACATAACTAAGAATCTAGACTCTGTGGCTTCAAGCTAGATCATTTGTATATTTGAATATGTTTCTGCTGTGTCATGGGGTTCACAGAGAGCGATAAATACTTTAGAGGGGCTCAAAATTGTCGCCGTTATTCCCATGACTCTAAAGTCATGAAGACGTGCATGAGCTGTGTATATGCTATGTGCAAACATGGACTTTATTTCCATAACATGGAAGCTACTATATGCCCCAAAGGAAGAGCTGTTCTGTGACAGATGAAGACATGCAGGACAGGGAGGTGGGCTGTCAGTGGCCCTTCAAAATGCCCATAAAGCTTGGGCAGCTTGTCATACGGAGCCACAGGGTCTGTGTGCTTTCTGATCATGACCTGATGACTGCCTATGTCACTTCACTCAGTAGATGGTGCTGTTAGCTGCTTGATGTTGTGGAAACAGCACTTTCTAAATATCTCTGGTTCTGTGGTAAAACACCAGGAAAAACAAGTGGTATGTAAAATACAAAAAAATAGCGACCTGTGTATTGATTTGGTCTGTGTTGTTACTTTTCTCTGAAAATTGGTACTTTCAAATGGACACACAAGAGACAGCATACACTGGCCAGTTTTGGATTATGCAGCCAATCCCATGTTAGCTGTGTGCATGCTCATTGGCCTCCAAAACTGTCTACTTGTAATGTTTTTCTAGGCTAATGTCACTTAAGGAAAGTTTGCTTGGATATAAGGTAAATCTTTCTCAATTATGTGGTCATTGTAAGCACAAGGATATGTTTACAAGTATAAGAAATCTCAAGAAGGAAATTAAAAAACTCAGTTCTGCTCAAAGAAAGCCTTGTTAAGGTTGGGGCATTGTAGTTCATGTACAATCTTAACTTTTGGAGAGCTATATAATATAGTAACTCATGGTAAATATTTATTGGAAATAATATCATCTACATACCATTTTATTATAGGTATGTACCATAATTTACTTAGCTACCACTCTAGTAGCCAGTTGGGTGAATCTGTATTTAGAAATCATAACTATAAATATCGACAGCTGTGTGTAACATCTGGGTCTTTCTGTTCCTTTCTAATAGAGTCTTAGTTGTGGATTTATTGGGCAAAGTTCATGTTTAGATTCACGATGTCTGCTTCCAAAGTGCATTTTAAGCTTTTTAGTTTAAGCTCCAGAGTTTTTTGCCATGTGATATTTATATTTTAGGTTCAAGGTGTGTCAGTGGTAGGGCTGGTAGTTAGCATAACTAGACACTGAGTTCAACTCTCAGCTGCCATGCCAGCAGCCATTTGTCCCCGGCTACTAAGTAAGCAAGTACAGGGTTTGTTAGAATGCTAGGGAAGGAAGTTCCTTCCTGCAGACATAGAAAATAGTGTCTTTCCAATTTCACACAGTTGAACAAAAACCACTGAAGAGATGATATCTCAGCCCTTTAAAACTGTGTCATTCTTACCAGAAGAACTTTCCTCAGGTCTGTCCTGCCTAATTCCAAGGTCCCTCTCACAGTTATTGTAGAGGGAAAAGAAAAAGATGATTGTTGGCTGGTTTCTGTTTCAGGTATGTGAATATCCGGATGGAACCAAGTCTTTGAAACTGGGAGACTTTGGGCTGGCGACAGTGGTTGAAGGCCCTTTGTACACGGTCTGTGGCACACCGACTTACGTGGCGCCAGAAATCATTGCAGAAACAGGGTGAGATTCTGTTGGTCTCCGGTCATGCTTTGACATTGGTGAGAAAGGCAGAGTTGTCCCTGCTGCTTTTGTGCTCAGTGTGTCCTGTGAAGAAAGCCAGGGAAGCAGAGAGAGATGTGACCTGAACCATGGCCTTGACATTAGCTTATTCTTATCTGGCTCAGAGCCCTGGGCCTGTACTTCTGTCCTGTGGTCCAGTGTTGGGGGTAGGGGGACAGTGGTCACTGATTATGGTTAGACTGAGAGAAACAGAGGACAACTCCTGTGTGACAGTGACAAAGGCAGTGCTTCAGCAGTGTGGCCATGCTTAAGGAGGCCAACCGTTACCTGCTCTCCCTTACTGTCTTCCAGCTATGGCCTGAAGGTGGATGTTTGGGCAGCTGGCGTGATTACCTACATCCTTCTCTGTGGATTCCCACCATTCCGGAGGTAACTGTATTTGATTTATAAATTCTCAGACACTTAAACCTGGCAGAAAAGACCCCAAGCTGGTGAATACAATTACCAGTTTAAAACGATAGAAATATACCTTTCACTGTTGACCTTTTTTTTTATCTTTTTCACTGTTGATCATAATTTACGGCCTGTCTGAAAACACACACACAGTGCTTGAACACAGGGATGGTGCTTGCATTTTCTGCTCTGAGCTGTACCCAGCCTGACCGTACTTCAGATATGAGACCTTTGCTTTGCGTGTGACCCTCTGAGCTCCTTGGCTGTCCTTCATCAAATATGTTCCTAACACAGTCTCAGACTTTGCAGCCTCTCACTGGTTTTAAAGAAGGGTAGGATTAAAGATCCTTGAGTAGGAACTGGAATCATCCAGGTGTCCTCCTTCAAGTTCTTGGTGTAGGAGTTTAAGTACTTTTAAACTACTTGATTTTTATATAAAATCTCTAAAGCACCCAACTTGCTTTGTAACACCAGGAACTCTTTATGGTAGTTTTAGCCCTACATGTAGCATTTATTACCTGAGAGGTGGGGTTACAGAAATTTTTGTCATTAGCTGGACTGGAAACACACAGCTAACCCTTAGCAGTTGCATGCTGGCTGGGTGGGAGCAGAGGTGAGCACAGGCATGCTTCAGGCTGGCCAGCCCAGTCATCTGTCCAGGCTGAGCCAGCCACACTGGCCACAGCTCTTCTTTTGGTCTGTTTCATCACCTGTTTTGGGCAGATGAAGGGCATCTGCTAGTTCATGGTTGCTTTTCTGCCCTTCATTTCTGCCCTGCTTCACTCTCTGTACGGGGAGCCAGGTACTCTGTAAGTGATGGCAACAGCACTGTCCCATTTCAGCCACTGTAAGGAACTGCCATAAGCTATGTGACTTAGACTGGAAACTTATTCTCACAGTGCTGGAGGCTGGGAAGTTCAAGACCAAAGTACCAATAGGCTTGGTGTCTGGTAAGGGCCTACCTCCTGGTCCATGTGCAGCCAAAGTCACACAGCAGAAGGGGAAAGGGTGACCTCTAGGAACATCTTATTGTTTTCCCTTTTTTTGTAAGTGATGTGGTTTAAGCTCAAGGTGTCACAGTAGGCAAGCACTCTACCTATCCTCTTTAGGGACTTTCACAGGGACACTGCAGTTGTATTCATGAAGGCTCTGCCCTTACAGAGTACCCTTACAGAGTACCCTTACAGAGTACCCTTACAGAGTACCTGGCTCCCCGTACAGAGAGTGAAGCGGGGCAGAAATGAAGGGCAGAAAAGCAACTATGCACTAGCAGATGCCCTTCATCTGCCCAAAACAGGTGATGAAACAGACCAAAAGAAGAGCTGTGGCCAGTGTGGCTGGCTCAGCCTGGACAGATGACTGGGCTGGCCAGCCTGAACTCCAGCTGTGTCTCCTAATGCCATCCAAGTGAGGATTAAGTTTCCCCATAAGGAGTTCTGAGGTGTACACAATAGTGTTTAAGTATTGTATTATGGTCAGCAAATGAAAAATAGTTTTCTCTTTTCTCTCCTAACATTTGTTATAAAAACTCCCTGGAAAAAGAAAGTTTAAATTTTTTTTTTGTCTTTAAATCCTCACCTTTTCAGTTTGTGAGCAGAATGACACAGAAATATTAATCTACTTTTGAAGAGCTTATGGTATAGAGACATGGAGCACAAGAGTGATGACCCAGAACAACTGGTTGGGTATGCTTGGTTGACTGGTGCAGAGATGGCTAAGCATGGAGTAAAAGTGAAGAAATTAACTACAGGGCTCTATTATGTAAGGCAGAAAGGAGGAAGTAGAGGGTGGATCATGTGTGGTTTGTTTTTGTTTTTGTTTTTCCAGGGAGCTAGTCAAATGTAGAAGGATGGTGTGTTTTGCTAACAGGTGCTACCTGGACCAGTTAGTTAACTTGGAGTTCCTCTTCATGCCTTTTCCAAGTTGACATCAAGGAAAAGGGATTTGAGGGATCAGCACTAGGGAATCTATGCTCACAACTCCCTCTAGTGTTTATAGTTTCTGACTCAGCCAGGGAGAGTTGTATTTTTATTGTTATGGAAGTGGTGGGTTCAAGTTGGATGTCACTGTCATTGTCACTGTTACCAGAGGGCAGCAGCAGCAGCTTTGAGAGGTGGAGAGGTGAGGTGGGCTCATTAGAACAGCCCACTACATTCTGAAGGGGCTGCCTGGTGTCAAAAACCCCTAGCTATCCCACTTTTACCTTTTAAAAAAGTGCTTTTCCTCTTTGCTAGTGAGATAATCTGTGACGTGAAACACGTCTTCTAGAAGCATCTTCGAAGCACAGACATATTTGGCAGATTTTGCAACCTACTGTTATATAAAAACATATATGGAAAATTAAGGATGTGACAGTTTATGACTATTGTCTGGTATGGATGGCATAAATTTGTGTATCTGGGACTGGGGAGGGAGCTCACTTGGTTGGTAGAGAGAGGGCTTTGTAACTCATGAAGCCCTTGGTTCAGTCTCCAGCACTACAGAAAACCCAAGATAACAGTGCAAGCCCATAATCCCAGCACATAGGACTTGCAATCAAGGAAGACACGAAGTTCAAAGCCTTGCTTGGCTATGTAGCAAGTTTGAAGCCATGTTGGGCTGCATGAGACCATGTCTTAAAATCAAATCAAAACAACTACAAACATGTATATATGTATGTATATTAAAGTTCTTAAAACATCACTTTCTTTTTCTTACACAACATACACATTTAACTGAAAGCTTCTGTACTGAAATTGTGACTCTAATGATGGTGTCTCTCTTCTTTCAAGGCCTTTGGGTTTTAGTCCTAGATTGATTTCTTTTTTGTTGTTACTGTTCTTAGTTCTTGAGCTTCATCCCTCACACCCCCACATCAGACTCAACACCCCCAAGTTCCCTAAGCAAGATGTGTCCTGGCTACTGACTATAGTGTTTGTAAGATTATTCCAAGATTCTTGATTCATTCTCTCTCAGCCCTCACCCTGCACCTAGTTCTCTGTCATTCTTTCACATTGCGTGTTGCTTGTGAAATCACTTACCAACATTATCAGGGTGTCCTTTCTGAACCTTTCATCATTTGTCACTGAAAGAGAGACTGTTTTCTTAATTGACTGTTTACACTCGCAGACACCTCATCTAAGGGATATATTGTCTTAGAATAAAAAAGCACCCAAAGCAGTTCCACCAGACCTTGGAGTATAAATGTGATGATAAATCTGGCGTGGATTCAAACAGAGCAGCTATTTGTACCTGACTACCTGGCACGATGGACTGTCTGCAGGGGCTGTTCTTCCACTGTGTGCATGACTCTGATGATTGACAGTGTTGATCCTTGGGTTACCATTCTAACTGTTTCACTCTGGGGTCCCTTTTGCTGAGTTGGGCTACATTGCTTGGAGTCCTTGGACTGCTGTACATGGCTGTTGCAGATGGGACTCCAGCTTTTAGCTCTCTGTTGGCTAAATGATCAAGTCAATGTAAGCTACCTGTGATTCCAGGAAAAACAATAAAGGGGAGATGACTAGAGTAATAAGAACGATTTTGAGAGTAGGTTTTATATATGTCGTCTTCTAGCATCACCTGGTATGCTGTTGCTTCTGAAGGCTTCTGTAAAGTTCCACTGTGTTCTTCAGTGTGTTTTTCACTCATTGTGAAAGAGCACTGAACTGATTAGAGCAATACAAAGGTGAGAGACCATTGTGCTTCCTCAAAGAAATTTGTGTGCACTCACTTTCCAGATGAGCAATAATGACCTCTTGCCTTGCCTGGTTGTCCGTAACCCCTTGCCTTGCTTGGTTGTCCCACCTGGCCCTTGCTCTTCAGTGTACCATTGTCCTTCTGTGTGAACCAGCAGGTGTCTCACAAGTGCTTCCCTTGAATATTAGTCAATCATGTCATCAGACAGTCCTAGCTATTGTTCCTAGACACTGCCCCAAGTGATCTGTTTCTAAGGACTCCATGCCTTTTGAGAAGGTGGGAATCAAAACCCTAAAATCTTGGCAGAGAAATTCTAAGAAGTTTGGACTTTTCCCAGGTAATTCCTGACTTGTACTCCTGGATTTTAATTTTAATTCTAACAGCCTATTTTGAGTTTTCTGTTGGGGCCTGTGGTGGACCAAAAAAGCTAAGCATGTTTCCTGTTTCTATTCCTGTATTCACCACATGTGGGAACATCCTACATCCAAAATCATCCCCTTCAGTGTTCTGGCACCTTCCATCAACCATTGAGCACCATGCATTTGTTAGACACCATATGTGTGTTTGGGGAAGGGCCAAGCAGCACAGGTTGGGAGATGCCCATTTGAAAGCATCAAGGGTGCTTTGCCTGGACTGAACAAGCCTAGCTGGCATATTTGAATGTGTTCTTTCTCTGAGACTGAGCACAAAAGAAAGTTGAGTTGTGGTGGGGAGCAAATTAACATCATGATTTTTTAAATCTAGGTTCTGAACTCTATATGATTTTCAATAATCTTGGTGTTTTATTGAAAAAGTGGAAGAAAAAACGTTGAATGGAGACTGCTTTTTTACTGTTAGAGGTGTGAGAGAAACTGTCATTCTTACCCCAGGATTTCCATTATTTGTAATTTCTGTTTTTTGTTGTGATATCTATATATATCTATATCTATATCTATATCTATCTATCTATCTATCTATCTATCTATCTATATATATATATGAGATCTCTCTCCACACACATACACACACACACACACACACACACACACATACACACACACACGTACACACGTTTTTCTTTCTAAGATGAGCTCTGGCTATGTTTCTTTGGTTGGTCTTGAACCTCTGGGCTCAAGTGATAATATTGCCTTAGCTCTCCAGGTGTCTGGTACTGCAGGGACATGCCCTAAAACCTGGCTTTCATTTTAACCATTTATAAGCACACTTTGTAGGGTATTTTACACAACCATTCATACTGTCCACTGCTGGAACGTTTTCATCTTTCTAAACTGAAACTCAGCTTGAGTCATTTTCTGTCTCTCTGGTTCCCAGGCCTAGGAAGTATTCTTTGGCTCATTGTCTAGAAGGAAAATTCTGTTGTCACTATGCAGCTGCGACACACAACTGAGCAATGAAACACCCAAGCCAAAGAGCCCCAACTCCTTCCTGTTGCTCAGAGCCTCTCAGTGACTCCTCTATTTCTTTTCCATTTCTTTGTCACCAGTGAGAACAATCTCCAGGAAGATCTCTTTGACCAGATCTTGGCTGGGAAACTGGAGTTTCCAGCCCCCTACTGGGACAACATTACAGACTCTGCCAAGGTACTGTGTAGGGCTCTTCCTGTACACACTGCAGGTGCCTTGCCTATGGGGCTGAGCAGCCACAGCTTGGGGCTCCAGAGACTTGACTTTTTCTGTGTGGTCCTTTGTAAATTTACCCGATAGTGTAGTCTTGAAGTCCCTAACTAGATTGAAACCTGGACTGCAATTCCCTCCCTCCATTGCTCATCTAATCTCTATAGACAGTCACACTTTTATTTTTTAAAGAAGTATATGTTGGACATCAGAATTAATGAAGTAAGTGATGAAAGGGAAAATAATGCAATATTCTATCTACTGTGGTGTTAAGAAAAAGACCCAGAAGTCTTAAGAGAGCCAATCTTAGTGCCTGTAGGTTCAAGGGAGACTTCTCTCGCACTGTGCTGACACAGGCCATGTCTCACAGCGCTGAAAGTGGGTGGTGGGCTTTATGCTCCACTGGCTGAGTTGCCATGTTAGCCTTTGATTTCTGTGTTTATGCTGGAATCACTCTCTTTCTCTGTGGTCTTCTTCCCCTCCCTTTTCCTTCTCTTTCTCCCCTTTCTAGGAGTTAATCAGTCAAATGCTTCAGGTAAATGTTGAAGCTCGCTGTACAGCAGGAGAAATTCTGAGTCACCCCTGGGTGTCCGTAAGTACCTATGTTCCCAGGGAATGCATGAGTTTATGTTGCATGGTCAGCAGCATGCTTCCTTGCTGTGTGTTTTGCACAGACACAGCTGGGCATTCGAATTCTAAATCAGATAAAATGTCTATCCTAATGATCAAGTAGCATGGGAGAAGACGGCTGGTACCAGAGTTCTCCATCTGCTCAGTGAGCAACCTGGACAGTCTGTCCTTTGCTGGATCTCAGTTTACTTATCAGCAAAGTGATGGGGTTGGCCATGGTACTCTTTATGGGTTCCTTGTATAGCTTCTTTCTAGTTGTGAGGTATATGTTTTCCTGAGAGATGAACATGTTTCAGACTGTGACCTTTGTGTCCTCATGGCATGCAGTCCTCCTGTGGACTGGAAGGAGAGAAGATGTGGTGATGATCTCATGTTCCCTCTGGGCAAACATGGTAAACTCGAGGGCAACTCCTGAATATTGAGTTAACTAGCCGCAAAGCTGCATCACCATATATCTCTTCCATCCTGCAAACTGCTGCCCTGGGCTGAGTGACTATGTAGAGGAGATACCCACCATATCTCTCTGTGAGAATTAGGACTATCAGCTGAATGACTTTTGTGTTGGGGACTGAGCTTGAGCCTTGAGCATGTAGCATGTTCTCTGCCATTTTTTTTAACTTAAGAAATGGGTCAAATAGCCAGGTGGTGGTGGTGGTGCATGCCTTTAATTCCAGCACTCAGAAGGCAGAGGCAAGCAGATCTCTGAGTTCGAGGATAGCCTGGTCTACAGAGGAAGTGCCTGGACAGCCAGAGCAACACAGAGAAACCCTGTAAAAAAAAAAAAAAAAAAAAAAAAAAAAAAAAAAAGGAAAAAAGAAATGCTCAAGCTACATTCCCTTCTCAAGCTACCATGTAACCAAAGCAAGGTGTCATCACACCAAACAGAGATTCTTGACTAAAGTGATAAACTGTTAACTTTTATGTTTCCATGGGATGACTTGTATTATATAGTTGCCTTGGGAGAGAGCTTCAGAAACATAAACAGTGGAGACCTATGCTTTTCCCTGTTCAGAGGTGGAATAGATGGCACAATGCCTTTCTGAAGGCAGGAGGCATGGCACTGCAGAGTGACAATACAGAATTTATGTGCCTCTGCCCCTCTGAGGATGGAGTCCAGGGTCTCACACATGCTAGTCCAGTGCTCTTCCACAGTGCTTTGCGAGGCAACAATTACTTTGGAAAAAGCCGAGCTTCTATCCTTATGGCTAAGGGCAGCCTGTTCCTTAGGTTGATGGTGGGGAAGGTGTTGAAGAACAGTTGGTGTTAAGGATCCAGAGTCAACTGTGTTTTTTTTTCCTTCTCTGTAGGATGACGCATCCCAGGAGAATAATATGCAAGCTGAGGTTACAGGTAAACTAAAACAGCACTTCAGCAATGCGCTCCCCAAACAGAACAGCACCACCACTGGGGTGTCAGTCATCATGGTAAGTGGGATGCAGAGCTCCGCCTCCAAGAGCTGCTGGGCTGGAGTTGTCTTCTGAGCTAGAGAGCCAGGGTTCCACTCATGGAAGCTGTGTCTTCCATGTCCATGCTTTCATGGGAGGATGGACTGGCATGTGAAGGATGCTTCAGCCCTACTCCCTGGACTCTGCATGGCAGGCTAGAGGCTGGTAGGTGACATGGAGCGGCAGTGATAGGTAGGTACAAGGGAGCTCCTGGGCCAGGGGCTTCCCGGGCAGCTGCCTCCTGTCTCATCCCTGCTGTGTCGTCCAGGGAGAGATGACAGCCATCCCGGCAGGATGGGCCATGTAAGGCAGTAAGGCCCTGCCTCCTCCAGGCTTTATGATTGTTTGACGTGTGATTTCTCTGGCACTTGGGATAAGAAGCAGCCAAGTTAAGGTCACATATAATCAATATTTAAACACAGAAAATGAAAAGTAACATTAAGGAAAACCAAAAGCAGATATAGGACAGAAAAATAAAACACAAGCAAAGGCAGTAATTGCCAGCCCTGGCTGCCCAGGGTGGAGCTCTTGTGAAGTGAGGCTGGAGTCTCTGTTCTGAGCATCTCCTGCCTGCTAGTCAGTCATGCTATCTCCAACAGCAGCTGCACTGTCCTCCTGCCCACTCACGGCAGACAGCAGGGCTAGGGGCATGGACACGGTGGGGGGGGGGCAGGTGCCTGTGATGGGCTGAGGCAGCAGCTTTGTCACTCCTAGAGCAGCCTGGGAAAGGTTCTCTGTATTCTTCCCCACACTACAGGGAAATGGATTTATTCTCCCTGCCTGAGGCAGTCTAGGAATGTCAGGAATTGTGGGATTCCAGAAAGCCAGACTGTGCATACCCCTTATGGACAAGAGTGCCCTGCATTGCTGGCATCTGCTGGTCTTTGTTGCCATTCCTTTCCCCCAGGGAGGCTAAGTTCCTTGGTAGGCTCCCTCCTGGTCCTTCCTGTGCCCCATGCTGGGAATTGAGCTCCCTTTCTTCCCATGCACAGCTTGAGTCTGCAGGACTCTGGGATGCTCCATGTTGAACAGAGGAAGAGTACAATTATGGTTTTTCTTTCCACTGTTGCAATGCTTTACTGAAAACCCGAGAAAGTCTGATATGCCACACAATTCTGGCCTCGCTTAGTTGAAAAGAACCATCACTGTTGAGTTGGTGGCAGGAGGACCCTTCCCAGGGATTGTATTTTGAGACCTACCCCATGAATAGCAGTGTATATGGTGCCATGCATGGTGTTGTAGACAGCTTCTGTGAACATGAAAAAAGGAAACCATTAAGAGTCAGTATTTGTGCTAAGGGTGCAGCTGAGTGTATGCTTAGCATGTGTGTAGGCTCCAACAACCTCCCAAAATATATGTAGTTTGCATCTAGTAAAGAGGCTTTAAGAAAATTTCTTGGAATCAAAATTTCATATCATATGTTAATTAGCTTTTTAATCTTCTAAGACGTGGAAGCCTTGCATCCCTTTAGGAGATTTTATCCAGTGAGTCACTGGAATTTATGGCCATAGGCCTGGGCCCTGCCTCCTGACCCCGGAAGCTCAGCTGAGGTTCTAGAATGATTGACAGTCCTCCCTTGGGCCAAGTGTAAGCTGTGTGGGTAATGGATAATAATGCAGAGAACCTCTCCTCACTTTCAAATAGCTGTTTCCCCCTTGCCAATGGAGTTTGATGTCAAACCCTCAAGTTTTAACAGGGAGTTCCTGTGAAAGAATGTGACTGTATAAAAATTGTGTGTTGATGTATGTGCAGGAGCCATATGGCACAAGTTGGTGACATTCAGCTAACCGGTTCCCTGCATAAGCCTGCGGATTGTGAGCACTGAGGAACTGCCAATGGTTTGACTGCATTCAGAATCTACTGGAGATATGGCTGCGTCTTTTTTTCTGGCAGTCTCAGTTCTCAGTAGTTCAAAAGCCAGCCTGCCAGATTTGACTTGTCCCCCAAAGTAGCTGAAGGCTTCTTACTTGTCCTTCCCCAGAAAGGGCTGGGTCTGTGTGGTTGCAGGGTAGGGCGTTGTGACACTTTTGAGCCCTTTGTTGTATAATGACCATCCATTGAGGCATCCCATCCCTAATGACAATTTTAAATTGTTTTTATATTTAAAATAACCACAGAATGCCTGTCTCTGACATTAATTTGTCATTACTGAATATGTGGTCTTAGTAGCAGAAGAGCAAGGTATCTTATGGCTGACTTGTTGATAACCTCTGTGCTTAACTTAAAGATAGAGACTTTCTTGTCTCCTGTCACCCCAGCATTCTCCCCAAAGTAGGTACCCAGGGCTCCACTGAAAAATATGGTAGGGTAGGGACTGATTAATAAAGGTGAAAGAAACCAAAGTTGACGCTGTTGTCTGTATTTCATTTGACAGTTTGATTTGACAGTTTGAGAGAGACTTCACAGAATTCATTCTTTCCCCAGTTGAGACTATGGGAAACCCCGAAGCGGATCCTGGTATTCAACATAGTGCTCATGGGAGCCACACCTAATGCTCAGCCCCTCTTCCAACTGCATGCTTGTCTCTGACTTCTGACCCTCAGCTTCCTGCTGCTACGGGTCCTCTGAACCACTGACCTCCTTCTGGCCAGCCCAGCCCAGCCCAGCACAGGAGCTTTGTGTTAGATTTCTCAGCTTGTCAGTCTGCTTTCCTGCTCAGAGTGGGGTTTCAGCCGTTCTGTGCTCCGGTTTCCATAGGTGACAGTTCTGTGCCCTGCTCCGGTTTCCATAGGTGACGGTTCTATGCCCTGCTCTGGTTTCCATAGGTGACAGTTCTGTGCCCTGCTGTGGTTTCCATTGGTGACAGTTCTGTGCCCTGCTCTGGTTTCCATAGGTGACAGTTCTGTGCCCTGCTGTGGTTTCCATTGGTGAAAGTTCTGTGCCCTGTTCCCGTTTCCGTTTCCATAGGTGACAGTTCTGTGCCCTGATCCTGTTTCCATAGGTGACAGTTCTGTGCCCTGATCCCGTTTCCATAGGTGAAGGGCATCTTTTTGGAAATGACAGCAGGAGATGAGTGTCTTCGTGAGGTTTTTGTGCTTTGTCAAGAGCTGCATTTTTTATCAGTAAGACAATGTGTGTCAGCAGTCTCCAGGATAAGAACACGGTCATATTGGAGAGAGTTTCAGAGAGGCCGATGGCTCTGGGTCACACTTGGGCTCTCCCTGACAGTCATCAGCATGCTGATGCAGGACAGTGAACATGGGAGGTGGCTTCTTAGTCCCAGTGATGGACAAAGACTCAGAGACAGGAAGGGGCCATCTTGTGGCAGAGAAAGGAATGACAAGACACCTCTCCAGTGGTCTTGCAGAGGGAGAAATGTCAGTCAGATAGTACATTCTTTCCACCCAGGGGGCGCTCTGCTGACTTTTAGGGACACGGGGGAGATGGTGGTGATTTGGGGTTATTTCCTGTTTAAGACAGACAGGACTGTTTGACTCGTGTTGCTTCTGTGGAAAGTAAGTCTAGTTTCTGTCCCTGCTTCTTTCTCTCCCTTCCTGCCTCTCGTGCTGCTGCATTGCTTCCCCGCCTAGGTCCAAGGCCATGGTATGTACTAACTGCACCGCGAGCTTCCTCTGCCATGCACGCTCATGGTCTTTTGGCCGGAAGAGAAGAGGGGAAATAGCCAGGGGTTGTGGCTTTCTTCTCCCCAGGAGAAAGTCTGCGATAGAAGTGCTGTTTGTCTCGTGGGTGTTGGTGGGGTGGAGTGGCCGACCTGGTCCCAGTAGCTCAGGAGCTAAGTTTCAGGCCAGGCTTTCCCCACTTACCCAAACTGACCTCCGAAGGTAATTAGTACTCTGCTGGAGGCTGGCAAGGGCTGGGAGGGACATGGCCCCAGGGCCACCTGTGCTGTCTTGGGAAACCTTGCCACTTGTTCTTTCCCCATCCCCCCACCCCCCTTTTTAAAATCTGTGTTATTGTGCTGGAAGAATCAATGGTACACTCCCCTGCCTAGGGGAGTTAGACAGCAAAATGCCTCCTGGTTCTTTCATCTTATAGCAGAAGATGGTACCCAAGACCTGCAGTCTCTACACCTTTAGTAAACCCAGTAAAATGGCAGCTGCTGGCTCCCAGGGCACACAGGCTCCAGCAAGCAGGTATTTCCAGGATGGTTCAGAAGGCCAGTGCTCTCCTCTCGGGGCCCGTGTGCCCTTGAGGTGAGTAGGTGATGCAGCAGGTGCAGGCTCCCTCATAGGGAGGGGGCAGGCAGAGACACCATGGAGGATCCATGTGGCTGCTACCACCCCAGTGGATTCCTAGGCATATTGCAGATGCCCTTTGGTTGTAAGGGCACTGTTATTTCTGACATGTGAGGACCATGTATCTGTGACAAGAACTTTCTTTAAATAAATGTGCTAGCGTACTAGGGCAGCTGGCAGACTGGCTATCCTCCCATCACTCCTGGGAATGGGTGTGAGACTCAGAATTTAGGCTCAGCGCACAGCAGAGACCCCCTCAGGCCACCCTGTGCAGGCTAGCCGTGTCTCCCAACACTTCTCCCCAGCTACCAGCCCGGGCTGTGATAAGGGCAGAGGCTAAGGGCAGCTCCTGGGATGGGGTGGGGTTGGGACTCAGTTCCCTTTAGACTTCAGCTAGAGGCCTGGTGTGTTTCTCCTCTTCTGCTTCTGTGTCCTGTGCATGCTGTGTGCTGCTTTCTAGTCCTGGAAGTATGCTGGAGCTAGGCCTGGGTAATGTGTTATCTCTACTGCTCTCTCCCCAGAACACGGCTCTAGATAAAGAGGGGCAGATTTTCTGCAGCAAGCACTGTCAAGACAGCAGCAAACCAGCGAGGGAGCAGACCTCGACAGTCCCTCCTGCAGCCCAGGAGGCCCCTCCCCTACAAGAGTCTCCCAAGTCCCCTAGTCCTCCAGCCACCTCCGGCTGTGATCTGACAGGGACCTGGCGCCGCCACCGAGACTGAACTCTGTGTAGACAGGCCCGAAGCTGCTCGAGGCCCAACGTGCCAGGAAGGCCATTCTTCCACCAGGCCTCACCATCCCATCAAGCCCACCATCTCCTTGCTGAAGGAGCCTTTCTTTCCTCACTGCTGCTTTGACAGTTTGCTGGCATGTTCGGTCACTGTCCGGGAATAAGACTGGGGTATCCTGAGCCAGCATGGCCTCATGTACTTTGGGCTCTGCCCTCTAGTTCCTGGCATGACAAGCCATGTCAGTTGTGGAGATACTTGGAGTGACTCATTTTAAATCATCCATGTTTCTACCCAGAGAATGTGCAACCTTTATCGGGAATTCCGTTCTTTTTATAGAAATGTATTGGATGAACTAGGATTCTCCTATTGACGGATACTCCAAGTGCTTCCTTCTCACGGGGGATGTTCTCTGAAAAGCAACATGGCCTCTTCCTCTTCTAGGGGGCCTGAGGCTCCTGGCTTCTGAATAAAAGAAATGAGTACCTGAGAAGACCATCTGGTCATCACCCTCTAATTCCTGGTGTAGGGGCTGTGTTCTGACTCCCCAGGAAGCAGCAGCTCCCCTCTGGCTGGGGTGCTGGGCTTGCAGACCTAGCAGATACGCCCTCAGTTTCCCCTACCTTTCCCTATGTGTGTTTTAAGAAATGCTTATGAAGTTGGCCTGTGGGCTTCGCAGTGGAATGTGCAGCAGCTCTTGGCAGAGCAGGATCAGCTCGGCTGAGTCACCACCAGGGTCTCCTCTCCCTCTGCTCTCTGTCAGGAGCAGGCCGAAAGCCATGGCAGGTCTTCTAAGACCCAGCGGGGACTGGGGTGCATGGTGCTCCTTGAATGTTCTGTGACCAACCTTCTGGAAGGCTGCTGGCAGTTTTTCCTTTTTTTCCACCGCCCTACTCTTTTTAATAATTGTATATAACTATGTATTTGTTTGACCTGCTTGTCTTCTAAACAGGTGGGCCTACAGTTCACTCTTACTGTTAGATTTTGCCTTCTCCAAGTATCCCCAACCTGCAATAAACTCTCCCTCTTCGGAAAAGCTGTGGGGTGGGCAGAGGTTTCTGTGTGCTTGTTTTGGAAAGTGCATGGGATCAGAGCACCTCTCCTTGGTCTTGGGTCCGTGTCTGGGGCCACTAGGGGAAGAGTACACAGATCTTTGCCTTGGCTGAATCGTATGTGAGCACAGGTGCTGGGACTCATGACCAAAGCACCAAAATAAGCAAGTTGTTCGGAGAGGGAGCTAGGGACAATGACAGTTAAGTTGGGACTCTCTGAAAGTAGGCAGGAACAGCTTTTCCCATGCCTGTCCTGGCTGGGGCCCTGCTTCTCTCTGACTTGTAAGTTACAGATTTCCCTATAAAGCTCTGCTTTCTGCTTGTGACCTTGTTCATCTGCGGCTCCTGTTACCCAGAGCTGTCTCTGTCACCTCCTTGGAGCTTACTACTGTTCAGCTTGAAACCCCTGGCCAGGCTCTCGATCTCTCAGTTCACATTGCTGAGGAAATGAGATGGCCATTGGCCCTCTGACCCTGGGTTCCACCCAGAGTCCATAGCTGTAGCAGACACAGGAGGAGGAAGTGTTCAAGAACACTGTGAGATGCAGGGTTAGAACACTTTGCACGTGTCTCTTCACTAACTGGTTAAAGAGCAAGCTTTTTTTTTTTTTTTTTTTTTGATAATGAACCAAATATTTCTTTTTTTTCTTTTTTTTTCTTTAAATTAGAAACAAGCTTCTTTGACATGCCAACCTCAGTTCCCTCTCCCTCCCCTCCTCCCCTGTCCCCCACCGGCCCCCTATTCCAACCCTTTTCTGCTCTCCAGGGAGGGTGAGGCCTTCCAAAAGAGCAAGCTTTTAAAAAAAAGATTTATTCTTAATTATGTGTATGCCTGCCTGTGTGTACGCAAATGCATTGTCCATTGGGACCAGAAGAGGGCAGCAAACCTGCAGCTGGAGGTCCAGGCAGTTGTGAGCCGGCAGACATGGTCCTCTGGAAGAACAGTGAGTGCTTTTAACCTCTCAGCCATCTTCCCAGCACCAAGAACAAGATTTTTCATAGCCTTGTGGCTGTTTCATTTTCAGAGAGGGGAAGAGCTAATGCAGACGGAGAAACTCAGGACAGATGGTGGGACAGGGTGTTTGTTGATGATCACACCACAATTGTGGCCCGCTCCTCAGCTGTGGCGCTCCTAACCGGAGGCAGACAGAAGCAGTGAAGTCTGCACAGTCCTTTCCTGGTAGGTAGGTAGCTTGGCCAAGACCCAGAAGCTACAGGAGGGAATGGCTGCCTGCCGTTGTGCCCCACTGCTGAGCTGGCGTCTACCAGGCAGTGGGGCTGGGGAAGGGCTGGTGATCCCGAGCAAAGGTTTGAGATGCACAGTTCCTCTGTGCATTTGCTGTGTAAGCACTTAGAAGCTGTAATTCTGCTCTCACAACCCAAATTAAATTCCGGCTCTTTATTTCTGGCTGCTCAGATCCTGTGGAGAGGATGGCAGGCGCCTGTTTAGACTGTGGACAGAGGTTAGGCTTGGAATTGTGGCAGAGAAATACAAATGGATGCCATGGGAAGTGGGTCCTTGATGTCCTCCACAGCTGAGGGGTCTCCCATGTCTCTCTGTGTCTGCCTCCCTTTGCAAAAGGTGATGGGCGTGGACATGTGTTACATGTGTTCATTAAATGTATTTGATAAAACTCCCAGAATCTCTTCGTGATGAGATGGTAATATGTGACTTAGGAGACGGGACGGTTTGGGATGGAGTAACCATATTGCAAGAAAAAAATGCTGATTAATGTCTTGTAGAAAATGCTAGAGCAGTTTACCATCCCATGGAAATATATAATATATACCACTTGTGTTAACATTTTTTGTAGTACCACATTAAAAAATTTAAAAGGAACAGGTAAAGTACATCTTGTGGCATATTTTATTTAACCTAACATCTACATATACCCAAAGTATTATTTCAACATGTAGTCAGTATCAACAAAAGCTGGGTGATATTTTACCTTCTTGTTTCCGGAGTCTGAAATCTGGAGTATGTTTACATTCACAGTACATCCCAATCTGGACTCTGAACATTTTAAATGTTTAAAAGCCACATGGGCCTAGCAGTTGCCACAGTACAGTTCAGCTCCCCAGATAAGACATGGCTCTTAATATTAGTTCTAGGTGAATCTGTTTTGTTTTCAAATGATGTGTATGACAGGTAGAGAGAAGGTCCCGCGTCATTTTAAGTGAAACAGGTTTGTGGGAAGTGATGGCAGAAGGTTAAAGCTCTGTGGTGTGAAACTAAAATGTACACTCGTAACGCCGTGACTGTACTTCAAGTGGGAGTGCTAGGCATGGAAACGGCTGTCACTGACTCGACTTGCCAGGAGCCAGGCACTGTTACAAAGTAGTCTTCACTTGTCACCTCAGGAATGTGTGCCGGGCCCGGCATACTCGCTGGGCAGCCCTGTCAGAGCAGCTCTCTTGTGGGACCTTGGCGTATGCCTGCAGATGAGAGCACTGCCAAGCTAGGAGGGCTCTGAAGCTTTGGCACCCAAGGATTGCTGGGAAAATCAAACAAGAACCTGATGAGCTAGAACTCCAGGCACACTGCTTGATGTCCTGGTGGTACAAGAACTGTTCTTTGCAGGCCGCAGGCATGTGACATTAGCCTGAGGTTGATGTGTAGAAAGTACAGTGAGTCAGGTTCCACTGTGAAGGCCAAGTGAGATTCTAACAGTGGCAGGGTCAGCTGCTTTCTAAAGGATTCAAACTCCTGGAAATGCCTACAAGTCAGATAATAGTCACACAAGTACACAGTGCGCTTGTACTGAGTGTTGCATATCCAAGGGGAAGAAAAGCAAGTGTATGGAGCCACTCACCCCTCACCCCTACCATGCTCTTAAACCTGAGCCCTTTCATGGCTGGTGGGGCTGGTCCTTTGCTGCTCCGCAGGCCTCCTGTCAGTGTGGAGGCTGAAGCTGGATCTGAGCTTCCTTTTCCAAGCGATAAAGTTCAAAGCTGTGGAGCAGCAGCCACTTCCTGCAGGTATGCACAAATACTGGTCCTGTCCAACTCCCCCAAAAGCTTAGCTTTGGCAAGGAAAGAGATCCTGAACTTGAGATGAAATGATCGACTTCATGTTTCAGGTATGTGATCATGGAGACTCCAAGTGGCCTCCAGTGTGTCGTCTTTCTTTCCTGACCAAAGATGCTGGACTGTCTCAGAGGATGTGGTCTGCCTAAAAGCCAGAACACCTGTGTTGTTCAAGAGAGAGCTTTATGTGCTGGGTTTTGATAAGTGTCTGTTTGTGGTTTGTGGTAGTCAGGGGCAGAAGTGAGTATCGCTGTGAACAAGCTGGTGAGATGACACACACTCATGGCCCCAGCCTAAGCCCAGGAGCTGGATGGTAGCTTGGGCAATATAGCAAGACTGGTCTTAGATGTAAGTTTAGCTTTGAGTTTTTATTTATTTTTATTTTGTATCATTTTTTTATTCTATTTGACAGAGTAGAGAGGGAGAAACATATTCAGCATTAAGTTTTAGATGGATCTGAAGCCAAGCATGGTGATGCATTTCTATAATCCCAGGACTGGAGAAGCTAAGGCAGGAGAATATTGTTTGATGCCAGTCTGAGCTGTACATAGTGAAACCTTGTTTTAGGGGTAGGAAAAATATTTTAAAATGGAGTCCATGGCACTTTTCTTGGTTCCTTGTAATCATAAGATGATCATGTAAAAACTCAAAGTTAGCCATGCATAGTGGCACATGCCTTTAATCCCAGCACTCAGGAGGTAGAGGCTGGAAGATCTCGTGAGCTCAACGCCAGCCCCCCACCTACTGTTTTTAACATTGCTGCAGTGGCTGGAAAGAATGGGTGGAGCCTGCACGAATGCAGGAAATCCTAGGCTATTTCTTGTAAATCTTACTTGCATGGCCGCTGCTACCTTGCTATTCTTGATGGCACAGAAGGAAGACGGTAGTGCCAGGTTCATATGGTCAGTCCCATTAGCCTTGACTCTGCTGAGTGAAAAGGGGCTGTGAGAAACCTCTCCTGGTTACCGTGGAGGCAGGGTAGTTTCTTGGATCATCTTCTCTTGGTGGACTTTTCTGTCCCACCAGCCAGTTCCAAATAACCACTCAGAGACTTAATTATAAATGCTCAGCCATAGCTCAGGCTTGTTACTAGCTAATGATTACATTTTAAATTAACCCGTATTTCTTATCTACCCTCTACCACATGGCAGTACTTTCAACACGGTGTGTTCATCTTGATTCTCTCCACATCTGCTCAAGACTCCAGAGACTCTACTCTTCTTCCCAGCATTCTCTGTGTCTTGCTGTTCCACCTATACCCCCTGTCTAGCTACAGGCTAGTCAGCTCTTTTACTAAACCAATCAGAAGGTGCCCTAATAATGACACATCTTCACAGTGTACAAAAAGATTATTCTATAACAATCTTCCTGTATTACTTGCTAAGTAGAATGGAAGTATAGTGTTTTATTGGTAGGCAAAGTAGTTACTCTTTAGAATCGATTCATAGAACACTTCACTTCTAGGTATTTGGTATGCTTTGGGTTTTGGATAGTCAGATAAGAATGTGCTGTCCACAAATTTACATTAATACTTGCCATATATTCTTGTTCTCTACTTCTCAGTCCTTTTGCTTTCCCCAGGGACCTATTATTTCCTAAATAACTAAACCATAAGGACTTGAGGGTGCTATTCAGTAAAAACTAGTAAGCAAGCAAGGAAAACCCTTAATTTCTTGAGGAAATTCATCCTAAAGCCAGGCTTAAATACGCCATGGAGAACATGTGAGCCTGCCAGCCACAAGAGTGTCTTTGGCTCCTCCTGTGGGGGCCTCTCACCTTCATCCCTGGCCACCTTGACGGCTATTCTAATCGGTTTTCATTTATTTGAAGTGATGGTGGAGGT